CTTTCTCTCTCTCACTTTATAACATAGGCACGCACAAAGTGCACAAAATGCATTGAATTATTAATGTGCTTAATTATAAAGCGTGAAATATGGAAGTGAATACATGATTTCCGCACCTCTTTCCTCTATCACCCATCAGTTATATATATATAGTTTCAACTTGTTTTCAAACAATGCTGGTAGGTTAAATCATATAAAATTGAAATACCCCCGTCAATATCGAAGAAGATCGCACAACTGACAATCGTTTTTGTTTTATAACATGAAAATCACTATATAGAACTCAAACCAGTTATTATGTCGTTAAAACTGCAATGTTCAAAGTGTATATATACAATGTGTATATATATATATATATATCCTATGAAATTAACAATTCACTCTCATTCTAAATTATTATTATTGTCTGCGCGCCGACGCTCCAATGAGAAATCATTTATTGCTAATTATTTTTCAATGGAAGCATTTTATGTTAAAAATATGTTTTTTTTTAATTTCTATAAATTTGAGATTAAATTTTTTCTTTTTTGAAGAAAATTAAATAAATTTTTGAGTTATAATATTATTATAAATATTAAATAATGATAATAATTATTATTATTATTATTCTCGCCATTAGTAAAAAGAACTTTTGTATAAAAGGGTTTATTTGAAACTCGTTTATGTTCAAATAAATAAATGATAATAATAATAGTAATATATTGTTATTATTATTATTATTTTTAGGTTAGTAGGTACAACAACAAAATTATAGGTTAAGTTTATGATTATTTTGTACTTTCATTAATAATTTCTTTTTAATTAAAAAGTTTCTCTCAAAATTATGATAAACATAACCTACAATATTTTGCAATCTAGTAAGCTCAAATAAATATAGGTTAGGTTTTTTTTTTGTTCTTTCATTAATAATTTCTTTTCAATTATATGCGTATCAGTTTTTATTGAATAAAAGTTTCACTCCGAAACTATATCATAAACATAACCTATAATTTTTTGCTGCTATTTCTGTAATACAGATAGAAAATATTGTTAGCTTAAAGAAATATAGGTTATGTTTATGATAGTTTTTTTATACCTTGATTAAAATTTTCTTTTTAATTATATGTAAAATCAAAATCAGTTTTTATTGAATAAAAGTTTCACTCTAAAAACTATCATAAACATAACCTAAAAATTTTTTTTGCTTCATTTAGTATTATAGATATACAAAATTAATATAATATAGCTTAAATAGATTATGCACGGCAAAAAGAAGTATCTTATTATAAGACACATTGGAAGTAAGTTACCAAAAGTATCTTCCTATCTATATCTTATATATATCTTAAGAAACTAATGCGACCAAAACATCTTAAAATAAGATATACTTCTTTTTGCAGTGTGTTTATGACAGTTTTTACCTCGATTAAAAATTTCTTTTTCATTATGTAAAATCAAAATCAGTTTTTTTTATTATTATTTTCATTATTATAATAATTATTGTTATTATATTTTTAATAAAAAAAACTAATTTCTATTAATGAATTTTTTTTCTTTTTATATATATAGTGTGTGTTTATTTTTGCATTATCAGAAATAACAATATGAAATAGTTTATCTCTATATACTTTGATATATTTTGCATTCTACATATACATTGACACTAATAATTTCATTTTACATAATTTGAATTTCTTCAACCGGAAACCGTTAAACTCGAGCCAAAAAGATAATGCTTATGCGTTCAACGTCGATAACTATATATATCTATATAAGTATATATTGTATACAATATACGATGAGGGAGCGAAAAACATGAATTTTTATAATGAAGAAATAGAAATTTATATGTATATATCAATATAAGTCAAATTCAGTTTCAGATAAAAAAAAACACATCTTTTTTTTAGCGTTTCAACAGTATTTCAATTTTTCCAAACAATTAGAATAAATGGAACAAAAAATTTATTGTTTACTAAACAAATAGCATTATTTTACATAAAGGAATAATTAATTAATTATTATTTTAACAAGCCGCATAGTGAATAAAATAATAATAATAATAATAAAAATTACACTTTACCCATCGAGCAAAAAAAAAAAATAATAGAAATAATAATAATAATAATAATAATAATAATAATAATAATAATAAAAATATAAAAAATCGTTATTTTTGAGTCAAGTAATAATGATAATAATAATAATTATTATTATAATTTTATATGTATAAATTTTGAGTAGAAAAACTTTTAATTCATGAAAGACATATATATATGTTTTGAAGGGGAAAAGAAAATATTTTTGACAATCGAACCGTAAAAATTGTCAGAAAAGAAAAAATTCTTTTTTTTTTTTTTATAAGTGAACTCTCTCTTTTAAAAGGTGAAAAAAGCTTTGAAGTTATAAAATGTTAAATGCTTTATATATACCTTCACAGATATCAAAATACGTTCAATGTGTTGGATTTCTTTTTGATTAGTGGAATCATTTACAAAATATAGAAGTGCGCGCATACAGAAAAGTATCCGTGTCCGTTTGAAAAAAAAAAAAATAATAATAATGATGTAAAAGTCGTAAAGCAATTAAAATCAAATAAACATCTGATGTGTAAAGTGAAGACTTCTTCTTTTGAAAAAATAAAGATTTTATAAATATATAAGTAAACTTTTGCCTTATTTCCTATATAAACATAATTATAATAACGAAATATATACCTATATTGCTTTTACAAAAAATAGATATAGGTGCGTTTAAAAAAAATTTTTTTAACAAATAATTTTCAATCGATTTTGAGCTTTTTTTTTGTAAAAAAAATCCATTTTTTATATTTTGTACATTTCCTTAATGAAAAATTATTGAAAAATTTTTAATTCATACAGAAAGTTTTGAAAATTTAAAACAGAAAATTTGTTATGATTTCTCTATTAATAAAATTCACAAATTCTGTATATAAATTGTCAAAAAAGAATATATTAAAATTATGAAAAATTGTCAAATTTAACTTTTCAACGTTTACATTGTATGTTATATCTATACATATATATGCAACGTAAGACTTTGTATAAAATAAAATTTTCTATCACATCGATCTTGCAAAATTTCCCGTTAGTGTTAACTCAACCGGGCATCATTCTTGAACGAGGTATATATATATATGTATATAGAGTATAGAATAGCCAAACCCCCCTCCCCCCCTTCTGAACTCCCTGTTCACCTAAAATCGTTCGATCACGAAGATGGACGATCGACAAATTGATAACGTGCCTTCGTCCCTAATCTCTGAAAGCTTTAAAAAAAATTTATGTCCTACTATGGCCAGATAAACAAAAAAAAAAAAAAAAAATCGATAAGTTTTTTCCTATCTTAGAATTATTTATATATAAATTTATATAACATATATATAAAAGTTATAGGGGAAAAACTAATTTTTTTAATTTTGCGTTTTTGACAAAACATTTTTATTATAAACACAGAAAATTAAAAGGCATTAAAATAAGCTGCAATGCTTCTTATTTTAATATATCCAATTTTGCTTATTTTAATACCAAAATGGATTAAAATAAGCAAAATTGGATAAAAATAAGAAGCGTTGCAGCTTATTTTAATGCCTTTTAATTTTCTGTGAAATCAAATAAAATCAATTACACAGTTTTCCTAAAAGTATCAAATTGAGACCAAAAATTGCATCAAATATTTGCAACGTTTTGATGCACATAAGTTATATCAAAAAGAGATCGTTTTGTGTATCATTTTTAGAAATGATACACGAAACGCTCTCATTTTTTGGTGCAAAAAATTGAATCAATTTATATCAATCATGGCCGAATTGAATCGACTCAAAATTAAACGAATTTTTTTCAGATATTTTGGTAATAGTACAATTGCGGAGACCATTTCACTATTTAATTTGAAAATGAAAATAACAGAAAATCAAAGACAATGTGCAATTCGATAATTAAAAAGTGACAGCTTATAAACATAACCTAAAATGCATGAGAAAAAATTTGTCGATAAAATCAATATAGCCGAGCTTTTTAGAAGGTAGATGGCAGTTTTGCTTTTTATAAAAACGATTCAGAAAAAATTTAAAGAAAGAAATAGATGAGTGCTGCCATCTACCTTCTAAAAAGCTCGGCTATATTGATTTTATCGACAAATTTTTTCTCATGCATTTTAGGTTATGTTTATAAGCTGTCACTTTTTAATTATCGAATTGCACATTGTCTTTGATTTTCTGTTATTTTCATTTTCAAATTAAATAGTGAAATGGTCTCCGCAATTGTACTATTACCAAAATATCTGAAAAAAATTCGTTTAATTTTGAGTCGATTCAATTCGGCCATGATTGATATAAATTGATTCAATTTTTTGCATCAAAAAATGAGACCTTTTCGTGTATCATTTCTAAAAATGATACACAAAACGATCTCTTTTTGATATAACTTATGTGCATCAAAACGTTGCAATAGAAAAAGATACAACCAAGTTTACTGTGATATGCTTCAAATTGTATTTTTTTATTTTTATCATATTTATTATTATTATTATTTCTATTATTATTTTATCTACCTTGTGTAGAAATATGTGTCGTTCCACGAGTGATATGGGACCTTATGTCAAAAAAAATTTTAGGTTATGTTTCTGATTTTCGGAGTGAAATTACTCGGAGATAATTAACTTTTAGTACAAAACATTTATGTCTAAGACTCCATTACATTCGAAAAATTCAACAAAAAATAATTTTGCTTTTACCAAATTGAAAAGAAACTTTTTATCATGGTAAAACTATTCACTAAACATAACCTAAAATTTTTTTCTGACATAAGGTCCCTTCTCTCGTGAAGCGTTACTTATAAATAATTTTGGGAAAGTAATAGTTGTAATTAATAACATAATAAAAAAAATAATAATAATAATAATAATAATTATTATTATTATTATAAAGTAATTGTAATTGTAATTATATTTAGTAATATAAATTTTTCTTTTACTAACGGGATGAAAAATAATGTTTTCAGCACTGTGTTAGCGTGGCCGGAGGTGGCGGCACCGGCGGCGGTGGCGGCGGCGGTAGCAGTGGCCGCCTGAGTCTTCACCTACGTCCGTGCGGTGGCAGCGGCGGCGTTGTCGGTGGTGATTCGACCGTTTCGGATTACCCGCCAAGCGCTGCGGCAGTGCGGAATCGAGAGGCGGCGGCGGCGGCGCTGCACGCGGCAAGGACACTGTTGGGCGCGGGGGTGGCCAACCCTTGCTCGCCCACCCCCGAGCCGCCCTTCTGGAAAATGCCTCACAAAGGTTTGTACATATATATATATACAATATATTTTAAATTTAAAAAAGAAATACATTTTTTCTTCTCTTATACCAAAAAATAAAAATCCGACTTATCGATTGGATTCTAAATTTAAAAACAATATTCGTCTTAAAATCTTTTCAGATAAACATTTTTTTTTTAAAGACCTACAAAAATGTGAAAAATATTTAAGGGATAAAAATTTAAAAAACAAAATTAAAAATAATTTAAGAAAAAAAAAGATATAAGAAAATTTAAGTAACAAAAATTTAAGATATACGAATAAGTATAGAAACAACAGTTTAGGAAAAAAAATTAGTTATGAAAAACCTAAAAATTTTGATGGTAAAATAAATCGTCTAGTATCATCATTATTATAAGGCGATGAATTTGTTTTTATATTCTGAATTAGAGAAAAAGGGGTTTTTAATATATATATATACGGGGCTAAAAATATATGTTCCTCGGGAGGTAGAATGTCAGAGAGAACAAAAAGAATCCCGTGCAAAGAGTAAGGCGGTAGTAAGTAGATAAATAGATACTCTATATATGAGTTTACAGTGGGGCTTGTGGTTACCCCAAGTTGGCCCGTAACCCTAGTCGCTTTTACTTGGCTTCTGTCGGGCCAACAGCCCCTTAAAGCTTCGTAACCTAAGGGTTGCACTTTATCACCTCGATTCAAAAACTCACCGCGACTTAATATTTTATTAATACATACCACAATTTTTGTTCAAAATTTTTTTTTTCTATTCAAAAGTCTTCGATATTTTTCACATTAATTAATTTCCGTTGGCTCGACAGTTAATAAACCGAAATTTTGGTTTCAAAGAGTTTCTAAATTTGAAGAGGTTACGGTTTCACTAGAAAAAGTAAGGATTAAGTTAATATGTAAAAACTCAAAAAAAGAATAAGAAACTTGGAAAAAAAAGAAGGAAATTTCACTTTCATAGATACAAGTGGCGCCCTCACATTGATTGCTTCTCCCGTACTCAATAAAAGAGACAAAAGTTTAGTCCCTCTCGAAAGTTACAGACACACTCTTTCCAATAGATCAGGAATTTTCTAAAAGCGTTATACACATTAAACTTCCCTTTGATAGTTCAGGGAACTTTTTGCCCGTCAATTTGTCACGGAGACTCTTCTCAGTGGCACACTCTCCCGATAATCCGGCACCCTCGACATTTATTACCCCCTTGAAGCTCCTACAGGTAATCTCCTTCCCTCCCCCCTTCTCTCTCTCTCTCTCTCTCTCTCTCTCTCGTTTTTTCTCTTTTAACACACGACTCGGTGCCCCATAACCATTAACAAATCTTGTAGCAGAAAATAAAGAGGCTCTTATATTGTAAAGCGTTTTGATTTCAATGCACATTGGGCCGGGGGTTATGGGATCATGTCCCCGATGGGAAATATTGAGGGAGGAGTCATAAAAAAAAAGTGGGGAGGGGGCTCGTGCCATAGAGCATGGTTATAAGGGGGAGCTGATTATTCTTTTTTTTTTTTTTTCTTTTTTGTAACCCATATTATATGGGTACTCGTGGCACTGCGCGCCCTTATGGAACCCCCCGCGGGTGTAAATGTAACGCGATCCCATGACAAGAAAGGCGCCGTGGTTACCGCGTGGTTATTATTGGTTCAAATTGCCATGAAAAGCGTTCTAATCACCCTCGCAGCAAGTGGTCGCGCGATGGAGGGGGGTACAACTTTTTAGTATTTATTTTCCATTATATATCAAAATTTGATAGATATATAATGACTCCGTTTTAGATAAATTTTTTTTTTTCCAAAAAATATAATGGAAATTGGCTTTTGTATTGTATATAATTTACAAACGATTTTGATAATTTTCTAATTTCTGGTATCACAGAAAATTAAAAGGCATTAAAATAAGCTGCAACGCTTCTTATTTTAATCCAATTTTGCTTATTTTAATACCAAAATGGATTAAAATAAGCAAAATTGGAATAAAATAAGAAGCGTTGCAGCTTATTTTAATGCCTTTTAATTTTCTGTGATATTGTTTCTCTCGATTTAATTGCACAGCCCCACAAAAAAAAAAAGTGTCATGTACTTTTGACCGGAATACCTTAACCCTATGTATTTTGACGCGCTGAACACGAATCCGAAGTCCGTTTTGCTCCATCACTTCAGGATTTTTTTCTAACCTCAAAAAACATGTCGGATTTTGAGAGGTAGGCGATTTTTTTAAAAATTGATGTATTAACTTCAAACTTGGTATCTGGGGGTTTTTGTGTCGCTGATTACGAATCTGAAGTTAGATTTTCAAAATCCAAAATGGCGGACGAATTTTGAAAAAAATTTAACATTTACTTCAAACTTGGTATCTAGGGGTTTTTTGGGTCGCTGATTACGAATCTGATGTCAGATTTCCGAAATTCGATATGTCTGATTAAATATTAAGAAATTATTTTTAAAAAATTGTCAGATTTTTATGAAATTTGGTATCTACAGGTTTTCTATGTTGCTGACAAGTATAACACTATAAGGAAGTGCCGTACGCCGTTTTTTCTGAAACTTGTCAGTTTTGTAGTTCTTTGAAAACAATTTGACACGTATTTTTTTGTTTTTTTTTTTTTTAAATCTGACGTCAGGTTCGTAATCAGCGACCCAAAAAACCCCTAGATACCAAGTTTGAAGTAAATAAATAAATTTTTTTTAAAATCGCCTATCTCTCAAAATCCGACATGTTTTTTGAGGTTAGAAAAAAATCCTGACGTGATGGAGCAAAACGGACTTCGGATTCGTGTTCAGCGCGTCAAAATACATATAGGGATAGGGTATTCCGGTCAAAAGTACATGACACTTTTTTTTTTGTGGGGCTGTGTTTGTTAGAAGGTATATACGTTTTTTAAATTAGGGGTTTTTTCCGGATAAAATCGGGCAGGCGTAACTCGGAACCAACACGATCGTTGGGCTTAATTTTTTTTTTCTAAATACTCAGCTTCATTTTCTCTCTCCTTTATTACTGCGTGGATATTTTACCGTAAAATATAAAGAATAGGCGAAAATTTCGATTTTTGGCAACTTTAACGAAATATTTGCATATCTGTAGAAAAAAGTTGGAGAAAAATAGAAAAACGAATAAAATATAACTTTTACTATATACTTTAAAAGTAAAACCTAAACTGTCCGCAGTTTCTACGCATTTCTGGCAATTTTCACTTCAGAAATAGTAAAATTTACACCATTTCCAGAATAATTTTTACTATTTCAGGAATAAATTTTACTATATTTTTGGAGTAAAAATTGACAGAAATGCGCAGAAACTGCGGACAGTTCAGGTTTTACTTTTAAAACGTACATTTTTCTCCGTGATGTGATTTTTGATTATTTTTTCCAAAGTGCATATGTGGCGTTCTTAACGTAAAATTAATATCGCGTTAATTTAACCCCAATTCCGAGTTACTTTTTCCTCTCGTAAATTAAAAATATTATTCTTATTCATCTGTTATATAAATATCAGACCTTTTCATATTGTCAACATGTCAGAAATTTATACCCACAGACCCTTTTTTCATGTTCGACGCCATTTATTAACTTATTCATATTTGTTTTAAAGCCTTATTCATTATAATTCATTATCCACTCAGTTACTTCCTGTCATGAAACTCATTTATCGTCAGGTAGAATAATTTCCGTTTTTAAAAAAGAAATTGATAAAGATCTTTTTCCTCGACATTCTCACATGCGGGTATAAGGCGTGCATTCATTTTTTTGTCAGTAAATTAAAAATTCGTCTCTTAAGATCGGGGAAAGAGGGTGAGGGGGGGAGGGAACTTTCGTACCCTTTCCTTTATCTATGCGCAAGTTTGGAAAGCGTGATAATGAATAGTCTACCAGTGACATATCCGCATTCAGAAGTCGACGACGTATAAGAACTGTATGTGTATGTGTGTGTGTGAGGTAATGAATTCGACACTCGAGCACCTCAAGCATCGTTCACTACGATTCAACTCATTAGAGAATGTTCTACCCGCGACATCATCTTTGATGTTTCCAAGTTGCTATATATAGAATAAAACTCATCACGCGCAAGATTGAGAGAGAGAGAAAAAAGTTTACTTTGAGCCCCTTTCGCGTTATAACATAGATAGTGACATTTTTCACACGCAATTGCGATTATAAAAATGAAAATTGTAATTTTTACTTTTGCGCTTGAAAAAGTCTCTCATTAACGATTCTACAACGGAAAAAATATATTTTTGATTCGATATTAATAATTGACTGTTAAATAAATATTTACTTTCTAAATCTATACTGAATTAGTAGTTTTCTACTAATGAAAGAGTGCGTATTTGTTTACCAATTGAATTAGTAACAGTTTTGACAACAATCCAAAAATTGTTTGCACAACGATCCCATTTTTCTTCGTGTGTAATTAACTCAAATAATCCCTCACAGCACCAGATATCCTAGGATATTCCAAAAACATCCCTTGGATATCCTAGGGATACCCCAGGGATATCCTAAGGATACTTTAAGGATATCCAAAGTAGCGGCGATTAGGATATCTTAGGGATATCTAAGGATGTCCCTAGGACGTCCCAGGGATATCCTAATCATTTCCCCGGATATTATTAGGATATCCTCAGGACGTCCTAAGGATATCCCAAGGATATCCCTGGAATAATTAGGGATGTCCTTAGGACGTCCTAAGGATATCCACAGTATGTCTATATTATCTTAAGGGTTAGAATATCCATGAGTCGTTCTAAAAATGTCCCTAAGGTATCCATAAAACGACCCTAACATACAAATTAATTAAATAAAAATGGAAAACATATTTTTTGGATGTATTTATAATGTATTTCCAAGATATCTAAAATGATTTACCTTGTCTACAAGAATTCTTTTTCCTACTTTTACATTAAAAAATCTCTTGAAACCAACTCAAGCGCTAACTATTTGTATCAAAAAATCGCTATCTCAAATAGTCAAAATTTGAATCATAATGATATCCCAGGGAGATCTTAGCGATATTTCT